CACATAAACATTGGACATGGTTCCAAGTCTGTCACCATACCCAGATGTTTCCTCTGCTCCTCTCTGGCTGATCCTAAGCCTCATCTCACAGAGGAGCAGGAATTCAGGACCTCAGCACCTTTTCTTTTGTCAGTCTTTTCTTGAGTACTTATAATGACTACGGTTTTACATTCATAATCTGGATTTTTATTGTTGTTGTTTTGAGATGGAGTCTCACTCTGTCACCCAGGCTGGAGTGCAGTGGCGCTATCTTGGCTCACTGCAACCTCCACCTCCCAGGTTCAGGTGGTTTTCCTGCCTCCGCCTCCCAAGTAGCTGGGAGTACAGACGCTCACCACCATGCCCAGTTAATTTTTTGTATTTTTAGTAGAGACAGGGTTTCACCATTTTGGCCAGGCTGGTCTTGAACTCCTGACTTCAAGTGATCCACCCGCCTCGGCCTCCCGAAGTGCTGGGATTACAGGCATGAGCCACAAGCCCTGCCCGCATTCATTATCTTGTTTAATCCTTGAAGCACCCCATGAGGAAGGTCGTTTAATAGAGAACAGAAGTGAGACTTACAAGCCACCAAGGGGCTAGACGATGCAACCCAGAAGTGAGGGCCTTTGGCTATCTGGGGGTGTACATGGGCAATTGGTGTACAGGAGACAGGAAGGAGTTGGGAAGATAAATTCCACCTCTTCCGGGAGTCGTAACCCTCCTGGAGAAATCCCCCTTGGGGAGAGAACACCCACTGGTGGCTCACTGCGATGCTGCGGCCAGTACAGTACTGTCATGCTGTGTCCAGAGTTGGTTCCTTCCAGTGAGTTCTTGGCCTGCTGACTTCAAGAATGAAGCCGTGAACCTTCCTAGTGAGTGTCACAGGTCTTCAAGGTGACATAGACCCAAAGAGTGAGTAGCAGCAAGATTTCTTGTGGAGAGCGAAAGAACAAAGCATCCACAGTCTGGAAGGGGACCCCTCTGGTTTGCTGGCTGGGGTGGCCAGCTTTTATTCCCTTATTTGTCCCCACCCACGTCCTGCTGATTGGTTCATTTTACAGAGTGCTGATTGGTCCATTTTACAGAGTGCTGATTGGTGCGTTTAAAATTCTGTAGCTAGACACAGAGCACTGAATGGTGCATTTACAATCCTCTAGCTAGACAGAAAAGTTCTCCAAGTCCCCACTGGACCCAGTAAGTCCAGCTGGCTTCACCTCTCAATGCCACACTAACCAGCATCTTTTCTTGCCTTACAGCTTGTTTTCCCTCACCCTCTTGGCCCTAGGTTTGTACCCCCAAAACAAAATACCAGCTCTTTAATCAAGACTCTGGCTCCTCTTTTTTGAGGACCTGGGTAAGACAGTTATTTTATTTTCCCAATTTACACAATTGAGTTGCTGTGTAAAAATGGCTCATTGAGGCATGAAGAGAAGAATGAGCCTAATAACATAAACTACAATTCAGAAAAGCATCCCAAACGTGAGCAGTGAGAAAGAATCTCTTGTGAATGCCAAAAGGAGTCTGAGTGGGTGAAACAAACAATTATTTCACATACTACACAGAAAAAGGAAAATCAAGTTCGACACAGTCCCTAGTGTACTGTCTTCCATACAACTTTTCAAACTGCCAGGCGCGGTGGCTCACGCCTGTAATCCCAACACCTTGAGAGGCTGAGGCAGGTAGACCCCAAGGTAGGGAGTTCAAGACCAGCCTGGCCAAGATGGTGAAACCCTGTCTCTACTAAAAATACAAAAATTAGCCAGGCGTGGTGGCAGGTGCCTGCAATCCCAGCTACTCGGGAGGCTGAGGCAGGAGAATGGCGTGAACCCGGGCAGCAGAGGTTACAGTGAGCCAAGATGGCGGCAGTGCACTCCAGCCTAGGCGACAGAGTGATACACAGTCTTTAAAAACAAAAACAAACAAAAAAAAAAACTTTTCAAACTTCTGCTTTATTTCTACACAAGAAAATTCTGAGCTCTCCAGTGGAATAATTTAGGTTTTAGGACAAGCACAAAATCATGCTTTGCAGTATGCAATTGTGTCACCAAAACCATAGAGATATCATTCAAACTCCCACTTCTCATACTAAAAACAGGTAGTTTACTTTGCTGCCAAGAATCTTATAAAATCGTCCCAAATTTACAAATGTTATGCCAGGAGAAAAAGTAGAAAAGTTTATTCACAAAATTTCTTTTTCTCTATGGATAGCACATAAAACTCAATGGCTTAAGATGTGGAAAAGCCATTACTATCATATGCGTATGAGCAGATATTTTATAGCTGGATAAAAATGCCCGTGTCCAAAGTATGAATCAACTTTTGGCATATGTGTAAGTCAAGTTAGGCCAGGCGACATGGAGCAACAAATAAACCCTGAAACAGTGCCTTTATAAAGTCTGATGCAGTTGAGTGACCCCTTCCATACTATAGCTGTGCCATGTAGAACGAGTGTCTGCCGAGATCACTGCAGCACAGGAAGAGGCGGAGGAGGCACGCAGCTCTTAAACACCTCACTCGGAATGACACATTGAGCAACAGCGGAGGAAACGTGAGGACGACAGGCCATCGCGTCTGCCCGTGGTGCATAGATGAGGGAGAACTATGAGTGACTTTGCTGTTGCTACCAACAGGACCCCATGCCTTGGGGGAGTGTGTGTGTGTGTGTGTGTGTGTGTGTGTGTGTGTGTGATTAAATAACCAGGAGATGTGATGTGCCTTGGCAGTGCAGCCACTGATGGATGTGGATGGGGTCTGTGCTCCATGTGCAGTGTGAGGGGCGCTGCCACAAAAGTAAGAGAAGCTGCATCTGAAAGTCAACCACATCTCGGGTTGTCCTCTGAGAACACCTAAGGACAACAGCATGCTCCCAACCTTGATTCAGTATTTAAGAAAATGAAAATCACGTGTAATCCACATGCTTGTAGCTCTCTCTTCAGCGTGTTGTGGCAAGACACTGGTACTGCACAGAAAGTCAATCACTGAGACAATAAGTATTGCCAGGGAAGAAGGCTTTAATCAGGTGCTACAGCTAAAGAGATGGGAGCTCAGCCTCAAATCCATCTCCTTGGTGGACTAAAATTAAGAGCGGAGGTAGCAGGGAACAATGTGAGCCTGCATGGGAAAACAGAAATGAGGGAGGGGTAAGGAAGAGGAGTTGGTCCACAGGAAGCAGGTGGTGGGTTAGGCAGTCATGACCTGTGAGAGGTCTGAAGTCTGATTTTCCAGATGCTGCAATCTGGTGAGTTTCCCTTCCTTGATGTTTATCTGGGAGGCCTGATGATCGGTTTCCTGAGAAAGAAACTCAGATAAGACAATTGTAACTTTCTCAAGTTTTAAGACTGAGAGAGGCAGTTCCTGGCATTCACTGGGGCTCACTTCCTTGGACTCTTTGGAGGCAGAGCTGAGAAATACACATTTTAAACAAGTTCTGCAGAGATTTTTATGCACACCAATTTACTGATAGGCTTGGAGAACTTTGCTAAAAATGAATACATGAAAACATGAGATGTCAATTGCAACGGGCAATGGAAATGAATTTGAGTTTAAAAGTTCCTCTGTTGTGAAAAAATTTCAGATGGTAACTTTCTTTCCAACTTATATGCTCCTTGAGCAATAAAGTTTTCAGCGCTGACATCGGCCAAGTTTCCTTTCATGGTGAAAACATTAGTGACTCCATTTCTCCAAGTGCGAGGACAAAGATCCCAGTAATCTCTCCAATTCCTAGCACCTCCACAGAGAACGGCTGCTTGTTGTCAGATGGAAATAATTTCATTAGCATCAGTGGACGCGGAGTTTATAAATGCAGACGCATGTGTTTCATATTCTCCTATTTATTTACACATTCCGTAAACACACGAACACACAAAGTCACATGGACGTTTTTAGGGCAGTGCCTGGAACACTGTACGCGTGGAAATGCCGCAGTTGTTGCCTTCAGGGCTTTTTGCTCAGGTGGCAAGTTGGTTACTGTTCAGAGGATCTGTTACCCCATTACCACGTTTCTCAGGTGAACACGTGCCCTGCCGCAAGTCAGGCTCTGGAACCTTCTTCAACTTCCTTTCTCTCTTCGAAAAGGCCTGCCCCCTTAGGGCACTAATTTGTTGGAAAAGTAATTCATCCCCGAATATTCATGGTTTCTAATATATTAATATCACAGCCTTCTCAAATAACACGTCTCTAAATCCACAATACTCAAAGTTAATGAAGAGAAGTTCAATCAGGTTGATGAGGAGGATGGATTGTACACTCCCTTCTGCCAACACAAAAGGCGTTGGACACACCTGGGATCCAGTCAGAATGAACCTGGTTCTGGAAACACAAGCTTGCACAGCGTAGGGAGAGGTGGGTAGAAAAGGTGGCAGAGCTGTGTGTCTCTTCTGAACCTCCCCTGGAGACTGAAATGGACCCAAATGTTATCCACCTCATCAGAAACAGCTGGTTAACGACAACCCGGTGTCTCCTGAGCTAAATCAGATGCTAAATGTGATGTGAGAGGGAGAAAGGGATTCAGGTAGAAATCACGCTTTCCAAAGCTCTCTTTATTTAAATGGTCTGCTTTGGTCCAGGGACTGTAGGATCTTGTTTTCTCTGTCTTTAAATTTATTAAAACTTTTCTCGGTCGGGCGCAGTGGCTCACACCTGTAATCCCAGCACTGTGGGAGGCCGAGGCGGGTGGATCACAAGGTTAAGAGATCGAGACCATCCTGGCCAACATGGTGAAACCCCGTCTCTACTAAAAATATAGAAAATTAGCCAGGTGTGGTGGCGGCGCCTGTAGTCCCAGCTACTCGGGAGGCTGAGGCAGGAGAATGGCGTGAACCTGGGAGGCGGAGCTTGTAGTGAACTGAGATCGCGGTCCTGCACTCCAGCCTGGGCGACAGAGCGAGACTCCGTCTCAAAAACAAACAAACAAACACTTTTTTTCTGATAGTGAAAGCAAAAATAATAACTGTCTTCTGCTGAGCATACTCTGTGCCAGGCACATGCTAACTCCTTTAAGTTACCAGATGAGAAAATGGATGGCTAGAGCTGCCTCACGACTGAACAGCTAATTAGTACCTACACCAAGATCGGAACCCAAGCCTATTTACTGGAGAGTGCTCCCCTAAAATCCATGTGCTTCCCAGAACCTCAGAATGTGACCTTATTTGGAAAGAGGATCATCCCAAATGTGAGTAAAATGAGGTCATCCTGGAGGAGGGAGGGCCCCTAATCTGATATGCCTGGTGTCCCTAGAAGAGGAGAAGAGACAGACACACGAGAATGTCGCCTAATGATGGAGGAGGCAGTGATTGGAGTGAGGAGGATGCTGGTAACACCAGGAGCTAAGAGAAAGGTGGAGCAGGCCCTGTCAACCACTAGATTACAGGCTTGTAGCTTCTCCCACTGTGAAACACCACATTTCTCTTACAATCTGGCTGGCTTAAAAGTAACCAAAACGTATTGTTTCAGAGTTTTCCAGGCTGGAAGTCTGGAATCAAGTTACCGTCTCCGTTGTTTCCTACTTGGTTAAAGCTCAGGCAGCCGGCCATCTGAAGCCATGCACCCTGCAAGGTGCTTTGGAAAACAAAGAATTCGCTGAGTGCTCAGGGTCCCACGCTCCAGAACCAGCCTCTGTAGACTGTGTATTTTCCAGTTTTCTTCACTTGCCCCGAAGGCCATTCTGTCCACTTCCACCTTTTAAAAATAGTAGCAGCTCTCTTATTTATCTTCTTCTTTTGTTGTTTGATCAGCTGTACTCTTTATGGGATGTGCTTTTAAAAGAGTGAGAACCGCTGTAAACTCCAGAATCCTGGTTTTCATCACCACTGCCACCATCCTCCTCCTCCTCCTCATCACCATCACCATCATTAGCTGGCTGGAATAGGTCCAGTTGAATTGAGACGTGCCCCCGCCACAGTCTCAGACTCACAGCTTTGCACTAAAAACGGAACCACAGTCTCTGATGAGACTCCCCAGAAGATGGCAGTGTGGATCACAAAACCACGCATCCAGCCCCACGGTACCACGCAGCCCCAGCCCGTGGATCCTGGTGTAACCAGAAGGCCCTGGGCCCGGGGCCGTGGTGAATGATCCTGCTGTCGTAGCCGGGGGCCACCCGCCGCCCTGATGAGGCCGCTGGGAGTGAGTATTTCCGCTCTGCGTGGTCCTTTCTTCTTGTGAAAGAGAAAAACATTGAACCATAACTTTAAGCTCTTCATTTGTAGAAAGTTACAGTTCAGACACTGGAGATTTTTGTCACCAATATTTCGAGGTATCCACTCTAATCTCTATATTCTGTCTCCTACTTACCTGAGGGGTTTAAGGCATCTCAGTATTGTGGATAAAAGGAGGAAGGGCTGAGAAAGAATTAAATAGAGAAAGTTCAGAAGGAGCAATGAAGCAGAATACCAGGATCATTTATTTAATGCTTAATAGCTGTGGGATCCAGGCATCCTCAACCCTCCAGTTTTTTCTTTCTTTTTTTTTTTTTTGTTATGGGCATTAATATCTGTTGCTGATTCTGCACTGTTTACCACAGCTCAAATGAGAAAATGACTATTAAAACTGTAAGATAGTATTTCTATCATTAAATATCCTCTGTATGATCTAGCAGTGATTCTCAAACATGATCAGAATCACCTGGATGGCTCATTAAAACGGATTGCTGGGCCCGGCGCGGCGGCTCACGCCTGTAATCCCAGCACTGTGGGAGGCCGAGGCGGGCAGATCACAAGGTCAGGAGATCGAGACCATCCTGGTTAACACGGTGAAACCCCGTCTCTACTAAAAATACAAAAAATTAGCTGGGCACGTTGGTGGGTGCCTGTAGTCCCAGCTACTTGGGAGGCTGATGCAGGAGAATGGTGTGAACCCGGGAGGCGGAGCTTGCAGTGAGCCCAGATCGCGCCACTGCACTCCAGGCTGGGTGACAGAGCGAGACCCTGTCTCAAAAACAAACAAACAAAACAAACAGACAAAAAACATGAATTTCTGGGCCCTACCCCATCATTTCTGATTCAGTAGGTCTCAAGAGGGGCCAGAGAATTTGCAGCCCTAACAAATTTCCAGGTGATGCCGACGCTGCTGGTCCATGGAGGACACTGTGAGAACCACTGGTGGAACCCCGTCTCTACTAAAAATACCAAAAGTATACAGGCATGGCGGCGGGCGCCTGCAATCCCAGCTACTCCGGGGGCTGAGGCATGAGAATTGCTTGAACCCAGGAGGCAGAGGTTCAACAAATCTAAGAGAATGTGTTGCTTTCAAGCCCTTCTATAAGTCTTGGAATTTCCTAGGTGACTTTCTTTGTTCCTCCCCCCAAGGTGGAGTCTCACTCTGTCACTCAGGCTGGAGTGCAGTGGTGCTATCTCAGCTCACTGCAAGCTCCGCCTCGCTGGCCTTGGCCTCCCAAAATGCTGGGATTACAGGCATGAGCCACCACATCCGGCCCCTAGGTGACTTTCTTTTTTTTTTTGAGATGGAGTCTCGCTCTGTCGCCCGGGCTGGAGTGCAGTGGCCGGATCTCAGCTCACTGCAAGCTCCGCCTCCCGGGTCTACGCCATTCTCCTGCCTCAGCCTCCCGAGTAGCTGGGACTACAGGCGCCCGCCACCACGCCCGGCTAGTTTTTGTATTTTTAGTAGAGACGGGGTTTCACCGTGTTAGCCAGGATGGTCTCGATCTCCTGACCTTGTGATCCGCCCGTCTCGGCCTCCCAAAGTGCTGGGATTACAGGCTTGAGCCACCGCGCCCGGCCTCCTAGGTGACTTTCTAATGCAAAATTAAGGATAGCATTTCACAAAATTAGGAAATGCTGTTTGTGTATGTGTGGGTGTGTTCAGTGTCTAGATGTACCCAAAGGTAACCATCTTACAGATCACGCCATTTCCAGTGGGTGTGGAACTTGCACAAGTGCGTGTTTTCCACCTTATGGTGTCTACATACCCCACTCACTGCCACGAGAACCTGGTGGTTACTGAATTGACAGTGGGATCAGTGTGGCCCGAGGCTTCCCTCAAAGGCCAAAGGAGAAGCTTACAGACCGCAGGACCTCCCTTGAGAATGTCACAAGAAGAGGTTGTGTTTGGTCACTGCTGGCCTTGCAGCCCCTTACTCGGGTCCATTTTCCCTCTAGGTTTATTTCTTGCTTACTGTCCATCTTTCTCCCTACCCCCCACATGTAAAAATTTAATGTGTCCCAACAACAGTGGCCAGCAAAGGACGGGCATGCAGCAATTGTGTTGAATGAATAGATAAACGTTGGCAGTGCCTTCTCTTCCCAAACACCTAAATGAATTTGTGAAGCGCATTTATGTGAGTCTGCTTAACACCTTCCAGAAGAGCTGTGAGGAAGGTTTCACATCGTTCCAGCAAAACACACAGTCACCATTATAAACTATAAAACCCAGGTGTTTGGGGAGGAGGCCCCAAATCCTTATTCACATCTTAAGCCAATCAAAATCCACATAATTCAATCCAGAGTTAATCAATGTCAATGAACACACAATTATAGAACCAAAGAAGTTAGTGCTGGAAGGGGCCAAGAGATTCTCTAAGTCCCAGTACGCTCTGAGTGAAGAAGCGGAAGGCCCCTCCTGACTGTGTGGCTGTGGAGGAGCCCGAGGGGAGTGGAGGGTGGGTCTCCCCTCCTAGGCTGGCGCTTCTGCTTAGCTTCTCTCCCGGACACCCTGAGACAGAGAAGCTCACCGTGATGCCCTCCCGCTAGCCCCATGTGGACATGATGCAAAGGGGAAGTGTGAGGACCAGCGGCCAGCTCCTGGCTCGCACAGAGGCTCATCCCCATCACTCTGTTGACCTAAAAATAACGTAACCTGCGTTTTACACAGGTCCTGGTTCTCCCTGACAGCATATGGTGGGATTTACCGTCTTCAGATTTTGCCAATGCGCCTACATCTTCTACATGCTACAGATTCTGAGGTTGACACCGTAGGGACCTGTGCCAGCCGAACATTGCTTTTTCTTTTTTTTTGAGACAGAGTCTTGCTCTGTCGCCCAGGTGGGAGTGCAGTGGTGGTGCTCTATTGCCTCACTGCAACCTCCACCTCCTGGGTTCAAACGATTCTGCTGCCTCAGCCTCCCAAGCAGCTGGGACCACAGGCGTGCACCACCACACCTGGCTAATGTTTGTGTTTTTAGTAGAGACCAGAGTTTCACCATGTTGGCCAGGCTGGTCTCAAACTCCTGACCTCAAGTGATCCACCCATCTGGGCTTCCCAAAATGCTAGGATTACAGGAGTGAGCCACCGCGCCCAACCTAACATTGTTTTTTCTGATCCTATAACTTGTCATTTGGGTTTTGGGATAAAACTGATCATAGGTTTAGAAAGAGAGACTCGAGATGATGAGTAAGGAGCTGCCTTGAGAGCCTTAATAGACCAGGAAGATTTAACAGACCAGAAATAAAGGCTGGCTGGGTGTGCTGGCTCATGCCTGTCACCCCAGCACTTTGGGAGACCAAGGCAGGAGGATTCCTTGAGGCCAGGAGTTCAAGACCAGCCTGGGCAATGGAGAGCGATCCCCCTGTCACTATTAAAGTGAAAAAAGTAAAAATAATAATACAATAAAAATAAAGGCTCAGAGGGGCCAGAAGCTCAGAGAAGCTATAAATGGAAAGAAACAGAGGCAGACTATTAAATGCTCTCAAAGTCCAACCAGTCACAAGGCAGCGTTAGTAGAATTCACATCCCTTGAACACTGACAGTGCTGCAGCCAGCCAAGGGCTTCATCTTTAGTGGCGTTCAGTTCCCTACCAAGCTGTGCAGTACATGATAGGCTGAACCACATAAAACTGCCATTTTTATAAGTCAAATGGTTGAGCAGCGACAATATCATTTGGTTCTAGGATGGATCATTCCCACGTTACAGATAAGGAGCCAGAGCCTCAGAATGGAGAAATATCCTGGCAGCAGTCACTGTGCTGGAAAATGGTGTAGTGGAAGATTTTGAACCCAAATCTGATAGACTCCAAAATCCATTCTCTTTCCACTAAACTATGGGGCTAGGTAAGAAGGTGAAGCTCGGGAAAAGCCATAGGCAATTGCACTGTTTGTATTGTACTCGATAACATTTCTTTTCATAACTCATAATCCTTTATTCTCCCTTTATAGTCATGAATAATGCACTTCAGGAAAACTGCAAGTACCATCTTGAAGGAGCCCTAAGTCCTGAAAGAACCACAAATGATTGTTTCCAGGTTATCAAATTTTAATAACATTGTTTTATTACAACACAACATCTATCCTTTTAAAGACGATGTTCCAAGAACTCATTATGCAATTATAAAATAATAAATCTCTTCACAGAGTGAAGAACCAAAGGCAGTTCCTCTTTGTAGCAACACTCAGCATCTCCTGAAAAAAGTTTTTTTAAATCCTAAGCATGCAATATTGCTTCTTCAGGCAAGAGTGGATGCAGCACAAAATAAGTATAAGCGAGGAATTGAATAAAACGTGGCTCAGAATAAATCTGATGCATATACGTGGCGCTCCTAACGATATCCTAGGGTGAGAATAGTCTTAAAGGTTGGTGATTTCTCCAGTGACTGAGATGCCAATGGCTTTTACGTACAACCAAGTTGAATCTTCGGCATTTTCTCTTTTGTGTTCTCGTATCATTATTGACAGTTTTCCCTTGTTACGGGTTATTTAATTCTAAATGCGCACACTTGGTTTTGGAATTTAATGCATAGTCATAATTTTAAAAATCAGGTCATACAGAAAAGTACAAAAAAAAAAAAGCAAATAAACCACCTCAAATCCCACTTAGTCTTACCAGAAATAGAAGATTTGATGCTAATTTTCCACAGATTCACCTTCGGGGCATACTTCAGGGCATACTGAAGCCACTCACAGAAAGGAGGAGAAGGTGGCTGTGATGGATCTGGACACGTAATTCAATTTCATACAACAGCCACCCTGGGGTCTATTTGTGGATGATCTTTTGAGTTAACAAAAGATTTCCCATCCCATACACTTGATTCATAAGCACACATGAAGAAAACTTCAAGTGCATTTCCCCCTCATTTTAATTAGGGCTCATGTAGAATATTTTTGCTCCAATTATAACCAGAACTACAAGTACCTCCCCTCCTCAGCCAAAGAAGCAGTTACGAGTCCTCTGTGGTGCGCTCCGGTTCCGACCTGGGTATCGCCGCATTTCTTCCCAGAAGAGCAGCCTCTTGCAAAGAATCAGGCCGCTCTGGGTAAGGTGTCATGGCAACGGCTTAAACTGAAGAAAGACAGTGGAGACAGACCTTTTCAAACTTCGCAGACCTACACTTACGTTCCATTCTGCTTTTAACCGTGGAGGACCCAAATGTGACGTGAGAAATTGCAATAATTTTATTCTCTAGAAGCATCGGTGAGCCCCCCTCCTGGAAACACGTTAGAAAAGTTTTTACCCTTTGCCCTTTGCATAGATAGGTCCAAAGACCTTCCCAGGTGTAAATTTTTCATCATGTACCACAGCAGAGAACAACAAAACCGTTGCACTCCGGCTGCTGAGCAAGTGGCTCAGCCCACTCAGGAGCCCAGGGACTCCCTCCTGCAGACCAGGCTTAGAAAACTGAGAGTTATCTATCGCTGTGCATAACAACATTCTCAGAAACTAGTGCCAGAACCACCGTTTTCTTTATCTCACATTTTATGGGTCAGAAACTTGGGCAGGGCTCAGCTGGGCAATTTTTCTGTCCCATGTGGTGTTGAGTGAGATGTCCAACTGGCAGCTGGGCAAGTCGAGGGAATCCACGACAGCTCCGTTCGTTGGTATGGTTGCAGAGACAACTAGAAGGCTGGACCTGGCTGGGGCCATGGCCCAGAGAGCCTGCATGTAATCTCTTCAACTTGGCCAATGTAGCATCATCGGAGTTCTTCCATGGTGGCTCAAAGCTACCACAGTAAGGGTGTTCCAAGATGCTCAGGTAGCAGCAGCAAGGCTTCTTGTTAAGTTAGTTTCAGAAGTCCCAGAATGTTACTTCTACAAATTCTGCTGGCTAAGCAGGTCACTAAGTCCAGCCCAGATTCAGAGGGTCATGAATAGACAGCACCGTGAAATGGGAAAAAGAGCAAAGAATGTGGCCATCCTTCATGTACATCACCTGTGCCAGGGTCTGCTGCTAGGGGAACCCAACCTAAGACACTTGCCTACAAGATTCTTCAGGATCTGGCTCCTGCCCTGTGTCTAGGGTCATCTCATGCCCTCACATTCGCCTCTGGTGCCTGACATGCCAGATTCTCTTCTGTTTTTCTAACACTGCATGTTCTATCTTGCTCCTATGCCTTTATTTAATTTACTTATTATATACAAAGTAAAAAAAAAAAATACACAGTATATGTTGATGCTCTCCTCTGCCTAGAATGTCCTCCTACTCCATCCTTGTTTACCTGCAGCTGAGCTCATCCCTAGAGTCCTTGACTGGGCTTCACCTTCTTCTTTCCAGTGAAGTCATGCACTTCCACCCTGCTCCTGCCTCTGCAGCATGGAACACATCGATTTCCTTGTCAGTAAGTTCCTCCAGAGAAGGAATTCTTCTTTCCCCTACTTCGGTATCCTCATGTCTGATGATGGATGAATGAATTATGTGTGGCCCTAAGAACTCCAAGGCAAAAATATAAACAGTTCAGCAAATTGCTAAATTTTTACATTGATGTTCTCCTGCCATTTTTAAGGGATTTTCTTAACGTCAACCAGCTTAATGTAGGAGCCGGTCACCAAGCTGTCATGAGGCTGAGGGGGGTCAGGTGGGGAGATAATCTAATACAATTATTATTATTATTATTATTTTTGAGATGGAGTCTCGCTCTGTGTTGTCTCACCCTGTGGTGTAGTAGATTGAGAGCAATATTTGAGTTGAAGAGAGCTGGGCTCAAGTCCTTACTCGGTTCATTATTGTGTGACCAACCTAGAGCAGGAGGTTCTGGGGGAGATACCACCAACAATGGGGGCTCCACTCCCCAGGGCATAGGGCGGAGGTAGAGTTGGTGGCTAACCTTCTGTTCTGAGGGCAAAGGGAGCTCCGGATCCTTGGTCCTGGAGGAACTGCAGAGGAAAGAAACATGGCCCTGGACCTCCAGGGAACACACAGTGAGCTCAGCCCCACCCCGGAACCACACCTGTGGACGCTGGATGCTGAACCAATGGATAAAGTGAAGGGAATTATGTGTGGGCCCCAAGCCAAAGCAGGACAGGTGGCTCAACCAGAGGACCTGCGCCAACATTCCATTCTGCATCAGTGCCCAAACAAAGATGCCTCTCACCAGGGCTCCAGCTTCTCTGTGAGTTAAACATTAACTGGGGCTCGAGCCCCTGTATCCAGGAATGCAGTAAACACGAAGTTCTCAGCCAGGGTCTGATACCCTCCTGAGGGCATCTGAAACGTGTGAAGGTGTTTCTGGCTGACCCGTTGGTCCTCAGGAAAGAGCATTCGCCAGCAACAGCACATGCTCTGCAGCTCATGGCAGAGACCCGCACAATGAAGACACGTCCTGACCAAATGCCAGCAGCTCCCCCTCGAGAAGGGCTGCTAGGGAGCCACGCTGGTGTCCTGGGCTGCTGGAATGCAGAGGGGAGGGGCAGCCTCAGTATCTTGAATTCCAGTGAGCCTCACTTTCCTCATTTAATCTCAAGGATGCTTGCAAGAATCAAGAGATAATTACATTTGAGTCTTTTGTCGACTGCAAATGTTATAAATACATCAATCATTGCAATGTGTCCTCCAGTGGCTCCTAAATGTCATGTCTTTTTTAAAAAAAATAATGAGGCCAGGCGTGGTGGCTCATGCCTGTAATCCCAGCAATTTGGGAGGCTGGGGAGGGCGGATCACTTGAGGTTAGGAGTTTGAGACCAGCCTGGCCAAGATGGGGAAACTCCGTCTCTACTAAAAATACAAAACTTAGCGGGGCGTGGTGGTGCGCACCTGAAGCGCCAGCTACTCCAGAGGCTGAGGTACGAGAATTGCTTGAACCCGGGAGATGGAGGTTGCAGTGAGTCTAGATCAAGCCACTGCACTCCGGCCTGGGCGACAGAGTGAAACTCCATCTCATAAATAAATAAATAAATAAATAAGATAAAACTTACATGAAGTGAAGTGCACAAATCATAAGGTACAGCTCAGTGACATATGTCATACCTCGACACATACCCAGATCAGGATATGCAGCGTTTGCATCATCCCAGAAAGTCCCTTCAGGCCCCTCTCCAGTCAGTTCTCCCCTCCCAGAGGCAACCGCTCTTCCGAACTCTCCAGAGACGCGTTTTTCCTGCCCCTGAACTTCACGTAAGGGGAATCATCCAGCATCTCCTGTTTCGTATCTGGCCTCCTTTGTGAACAGGTCTTGAGGCTCATCCGTGTTGTTGCTTGGACCACTTGGACCAGCAGTGCACCCCTTTTTATTGCTGCGTCGTGACATACATCTTTTTTAGGAAATTTTAGGAAAGGAATTTTTAAAATCTCAAAATTACAGCAGAAGCTACATTGCATGATTTCAGATCCTGGTCTCTCTACCGGCCTCGCTCCCACGCTGGGGGAATTATGTCAATTAGCTTTTAGCTGTGTTGGGTTAGGACCAGCCCGCCGTTCCTAACAAGGACGAGGGTTTCGAGAGGAGAGGCTTCTGTTAGCTTAGTATTTATGAGTCTACTTATCTGTTCTTCAAGTCAAAAATCTGCTCGCCTCTTACTTAACTGTTTTATTTACCTAGAAAGTAGAAAGAAAGGCTACTCTGAGTGCGGATAAGCTTCTCGGCTCGGAAGCCTGGTGCTTTAAGAGAAAAAGCACACGCTCTGCAAACAAGACGTGGGGAGTGGAATGGAAAACTCCGCTGAGTGCTTTCCTGGCTTCACGCCAGTCTGGGAATACTTAATTTTATATATATATATATATATTTATTTAAAGCCAACTGTTCTCACATTTAGGCCAATTTTTCTTTTGCTAATATGGTCTTTTCTTGTCTTCAACCCAAAACAGATTGAGAATCAAGAAAAGATATATTCTATCCACAGCTTCATTTCACCAATCATCTGTTCATTTTCAACTAACGACAACGATTTATATGTCTTTAAATATTAATGTGGGTGCCAAAGAACACAAAACAAAGGCACTGTTCGTTCAGAGTCAGAATCGACTGAGAATTCCTGCAGAGGCGAAGTTTCTTCTAACTGATGGATTTGGTCTGGCAATGCCCGTGGCCGGAGGTGCACAACAAGGAAATGAACGAGTGCAGAGGGAATAGTGCCCGTCAAGAATCTACAGGTTCAGGTGTATGCTTAGGCAAGTGCCTGACACCATTTCTTTGTCAGTGGTGCCCTGTTGACTCTGGATCCCCTTAGAAATTGGGAGGAAACGTTTGGGCACAGTGGCTCACGCCTGTAATCCCAGCACTTTGGGAAACCAAGGTGGGCGGATCACGAGGTCAGGAGATTGAGGCCATCCTGGCTAACACGGTGAAATCCCGTCTCTACTGAAAATACAAAAAATTAGCTGAGCGTGGTGGCGGCGCCTGTGGTCCCAGCTACTCGGGAGACTGAGGCAGGAGAATGGCGGGAACCCGGGAAGCGGAGCTTACAGTGAGCCGAGATTGCACCACTGCACTCCAGCCTGGGCGACAGAGCGAGACTCCATCTCAAAAAAAAAAAAAAATTGGGAAGAAACTCGGGGAGAAATGACTGTGTGTGTTTCCCTTGATTAGTTATCGTCACTACATCACTTCACCTTAATCTGCATCACCATTTGCAGCCACTGTATTTCATAATGCTTAGGGTTTATCAGCCATTATCCCACAGCTCCCTGTCCATGGCTCAGTTTGGCGCTTAGATGAACCTAGGACGTGATAAGGACAGTACTCTTGCAACTTGAGGGGTGAAAAGGCTAAATGACTTCTGCAGGGGTAACATTCAGTAAGTGGAGGAGGGCCTGCCCCGTTCTCTCCTTTGTCTCCAGGTTAAATTGAATGATACTCTAAAAATGTACCAGAATGAGCCCTTTGCAATATTTTATTTTATTTTTAAAATTTATTTTATTTTATTTTTTAGACGGAGTCTCACTCTGCTGCCAGGCTGGAGTGCAGAGGCACAATTTCGGCTCACTGCAACCTCTGCCTCCCGGGTTCAAGCGATTCTCCTTCCTCAGCCTCCCGAGTAGCTGGGACTACAGGCGCCCGCCACCACGCCCAGCTAATTTTTGTATTTTTAGTAGACACAGGGTTTTACCATGTTGAACAGGATGGTCTTGATCTCTTGACCTCACGATCTGCCTCCCTCGGCCTCCCAAAGTGCTGGGATTATAGGTGCGAGCCACCGCGCCCAGCCATTTATTTTTATTTTTTAAACGGAATCTCTCTCTGTTGCCCATGCAAGAGTTCAGTGGCACAATCTCAGCTCACTGCAACCTCTGCCTCCGGGTTCAAGTGATTCTCCTGCCTCAGCCTCCCGAGTAGCTGGGATTACAGGCATCTGCCGTCACATCCCATCACATAATTTTTGTATTTTTGATAGAGATGGGATTTCGCCACGTTCGCCAGGCTGGTCTTAAACTCCTGACCTCAGTGATGAGCTCGCCTCGGCCTCCCCAGAGTGCTGGGATTACCGATGTGAGCCACTGTGCCCAGCCCCTTTGCAATATTTTGTAAAGGTTAACTAAAAGGCACACAGTCCTTATTTTAATATAATGGAATTTAAAGCCTTGTCCATTAAACAAGAATAAAGTTGCTTGATTTGTCCCAGTGAATTGGCCACAAGTGGCCAGACGCTACGGCCTGTTGTCTGTCTTCGTTCTCCCTCCGCTCGTCAGAACATAAGCTGCATGAGGGCAGGGACTTGGCTTAGTTCACTGTTATATCCAGAGCCCCTAGGCCAGGGCCTGAAGCACAGTGCGTGGTCTATAAATACTACGTATGTGAGAGGATGAAGAAACGAAGGCACGAGGGAAGAAAGGACAGAGCAAGGCTTAGATCGGTGGAGTGGCTGGCTGAAGGTCACACAACCACAGCAACCTCGATGTTCGAGAGAGACTGAGCATAAACATCACCCTCTGTTCGATCTTGTCATCTGCGCTTTCGTTTCCATCGGTAGTATTTGTTGCCTTTATGGAGGTGAGAGTGGGGGGAGGGGAGACGTTGCCATTTTTCTGGAGAAATGTCTTTAACAAGCTGTGAGAGGTGCTGTGTGTCTTACACGAGGAAGAGGGCGAACAAGGCGTGAGAGGTGCTGTGTGTCTTACACGAGGAAGAGGGCGAACAAGGCGTGAGAGGTGGCTGTGTGGTCTTACACGAGAGAGGGCGAACAAGCTGAAGGTGCTGTGTGTCTTACAAGGAGAAGGGCGAACAAGGCGTGAGAGGTGTTCTCGTGTGTCTTACACAGGAAGAGGCGAACAAGGCTGAGAGGTTGCCCTGTGTGTCTTGAACACGAGGAGAGGGTGAACTAAGCGTGCAGGAGAGGTCTGTTGTGTCTTACACAGGAATGAGGGCGAACAAGGCGCAGAGGGGCCTGTGTGTCTTACACGAGGAACGAGGGCGAACAGCTGCTTTGGATGTGAATGCTCGTGCGACTGGCTATGAAACCCCTGACTAGCCGAGTGATTTGTGATAACTTTACAGCACGGATTTAAAATTAACAATCACAACACATCAGACGACCTCAATCAAGGGCATCG